ATCCGAGTTTGGACCTGTTTTGTTTTGGTCTGGTCTTTTTTGAAAGGCAAGTTACCAGTGCAGTCACTGGGTCCTAGCCTGTCTCTTAATAACCTAACACCCCTCACTGTTATCTTTTCTTCTGTTTACCTAAGTCCTTTAACAAAAATAATACCCCTCCGGTTTGACAAAAACAGTACCCCTCCGGATTGGCAAAAATAGGACCCCTCCGGATTGGCAAAATTGAGACCCCTCCGGATTGGGACCCCTCTGGGTTAGCAAATGTAAGATCCCTCCGGATTGGGACCCCTCCGGTTTTGTGAAAGCAAGACCCCTCCGGATTGGGACCCCTCCAAATTAGGAAAAATTTGGAGCACTCCGGATTAGGACCCCTCCGGTTTTGTAAAAATAGCTATTCGGAGACTTCCTTGATTTTCAACCTATACCCCTCCGGATACGTTCTCCGATGCTATTATGCTATTTGTATCAACTAGGAAGGGTATGTGGTCCTTCCCTAGACCCTTCCGGATTGAAGTTAAGCCTCTTATTTGACAATTCACACTAACGGTGAACGGTCTCATCGCTAGCCAAATTTCGGCTCGACTAAGGTTTTGTTGTGCCTTTAGCCTTCCCTTTTTGTCTAGAACAGCGTAAAATTGCCTTATTCGTCCGTTTCTACTCTTTGGTAGGGGTGTAAGGACTTTCCAAAAATTTTTTATAAAATGTGAAGGGTCTACCTTCCCGAATTGGTGAATTTGCTAAAAACAATACTTAAAAATTTTCAAGCTTAACTTTTTTGAACAATTGGTGTTTTAATTAGTAAGCTCAGCTAATTTGTGATCTAATGGTACCAAGATCAACTGGATCTGTCCTGTAGTTCCAAAGTTATTAACCAAAACGTCTTTTTTCCAAAATCAAAAATTTCTCTCTTATAGGTTCCTCCTAAATTTTTTTCGCAATTCTGTTCTGTTTGGCCTATTTATTGATCCGAGCTCAAAAAGCCTACACTCTTCTAGTTCAATGCAAAAAAAAACTCGATCTGAAACGCTCTAGCTGGAAAAATTTGCGAAAAACTATGCTATTTGGACCCCCCCGGATTGATGAATCCACTAAATCAAACACGTTAAGTTCGATTTCTCCGTAACCCGGAAGGTTATCTGCAAACCGGTTTTAAAACCTATGGTTTCACTAGTTGACGTTGTCCAAACAACAATTTTTACCGTCCTAACTCAAAAATTTCAAAAAATTTTCTTGTTTCATAGCGTTTCGTCTATTCAAAAATCACGAAAATTCGGTTTTTGGTACCAAAATAGTTCCAACCACTTCTGAACTAAACTCAACCGGTTCTACCTATTTTACTAGCACAGTTACGATGTAAATCACTAATTTAGTGCTTTTTTCCGTTTCAAAAAATATCGATATCTCAAAAATCGCGATTTGTGGGGGGAACAAATTATCGCTATTTTGACCCTAAAAACCGGTCCGCTTACTGTGTTTTTCACTGAAAAACGATATTAGAGTATTAATATAGGGTATATAAGTAGTAATACTAATAATACTATACCCCTCCGGGTTTGTTCAATATCCGAATTAAGATGCTTAACCCGGAAATTCGCAGTTCGGTGAAGGGTCACTACAGTGCAGCACTGTCGAGCCCCCCACAGATTACTATCTTATCTTTTGTTCCAAAAATGATACAAAACATGTTAACGATACCCAACAGTCGACCGTTAATGTCGTTGAGCCCTCTCTTGTCACTCCTTGTACTGCTTGCCGGATCAGTCTTCTTCACTAATCCCGAGACCCTTCCGGATTGAGCGCAAATCAGCAGACCCTTCCGGATTGAGCGCAAATTAGCAATAACGTGCTTAAATACTCAAATAACCCTACAGTACAAGCCTCACAAACGGGCCACAAAAATGATCGTTACAATCTTGATTGATATAACTGCCTGTAACAACAATATGTCTATCAACAACAAACGGGAGGTTCGGATCTTGTCTGGGGGGATGATTTCTACAGTTTTTTTTATTTTTTTTTTTACTGTTTTCGATTTTTTTCGGTTATTTTTTGTGTTTTCTGTTTTTCTTGGGTACTATACTACTTTTTGTTTGGTTTCTTTTACATCTTTAAGTGTTTTTGGTGACAAACCTCTCAGGGAACGAGGGGATCACCCGACCTTTCCTGGAACGTGAATTTTCGGTCTTAATTATGTTAAAAAGCCATTCACGGTAATCCGAAAGGCTTCCGCGTTCCGAACTACCCTTACGCCCCGGCGGTTAGGGCCTATTAAGGGCGTTATTATGAGCATCCGCTCAGCGCTGAGTGCTCGTTAACGGTTCGTCCGGTCTTGGTGTTAAAAAAGATTAACACCCAGGAGCGCCATAAAAACATCTATGTAACATTCGCCCGGAAGTACATATCGATGCAACATGAAGCCAAGCTATAAAACGACTGGCCAGCGTTACTAAGCTCTATATGCTTTTCACCGTCTCTACCAAAGCCAGTTCTTTTGGTGGTCTTTCTAACATTGGTCAACAAAACGTTACTGCTTTCGGCTTCGGTCAAAACACTCAAACTAACTTACCTACATGCAAAATTAGTGAGCTCATGGCTGGGTCTCAGTATCCCCAGACCACGAGGTCACTCCTAAAAACAGGGCTACTACTATTTGTTATATTACTGTTTTTGTTCAGCAGATAAAAAGCATCATCTACATCGAAGATGGATCAACCCTTTCCCCCAACTCCTAGCTTCTCATTGTCGTAAAATGAATTCAGATGTTAAATAAATTCAATTTAAGACATATCCGGGAAGCTAGAAGTTTACATGAAACAGTTTCAGTTCAAATCGCGAGACCCCTCCGGATTCTTGAATCCGGGGAAATAACGCCCTTATCTTCTTTCCGGAAGGATGTTGTTGTGAACGGCCTTGGAACGATTGTAGCGACACAATCGTTTCAGCTCGTAGCGGTCTCTGCTAACTCTGCTTTTTCTTCGATTCTGATCTTCAATTTTTCCGTAGTTATCTTCATCGCAACTATTGTTGTTCTGATTTTCTTCTGGTTTTCTTCCAAAATGGCGGTTTTTGCCGTTTCTCAGAAGTGCGACTTCTCAGTTCGAATTTTTAAAATTTCAAAATACCAGAATATCTTGACCTTCATCGTTTGACTAATCGTCCCAATAACGTCACTAATCTCTCAAAACTGTCAATTCGGAAGGTTAGCTGCTAACTATTCGAAATCGCCGAATCTGCATTTTTGTCCATTCTGGTCGAATGTCACATTCCGGAGAGGTCACTCAACAGTAACACAAATCTTGGTATATTTGGAAGCCGTATACAAAGGGGTCGATTCTAATTAGACTACTCAAGCTGTCTCAACAGTAACAGAAAACAAAATGTGGACACAGATGGATACCATTCTGGATATTTAAGTGTAACAAGTGGTGATCCACAAGGCTCACTACTGGGGCCGCTGCTTTTCTTAGTTTATGTTTACGATCTTCCTGATGGAATAGTCAATCAAAATTTCGCTTTCGACGACAACACAAAACTTGTGGATGCTACCCCGCACATATCAAGCAATAATATGCAAGATGACATCGATAGACTGCAATATTGGAGCATCACAAATTTTATAGATTTCAACGTAGAGAAGTGTGCCGTTCTGAATTTTTTATGTTCTTCGCCAAAAAATGTTGACCTGATGCTTGGCGAAGAGTCTATTCAAACGAAGACAGCGGAAAAAGCCCTAGGTTTTATGGAAAACACGACTCTGAAATGGACAAACACGTCGAATATGTTATAGCCAAAGCAACAATAGTATTTTTTTTTCAAATAAAAAGAAAAGTTTTAACTAGCCGTATGTATGCAAGCCAAGTTGATTCTCTACAAGTCTATGCTGCTTCCGATTCTTTTATACGGCAGCCCTGCTTGGTGTCCCTCAAAAATGGACATGAAAACAATTGAAAGTTCTCAACACCGCGAGATACGCTGGATAGTAGGTGGGCATTTAACCTAAAGAGAAAGACTGAAGATGCTCATTATCTTACCAATTCCCTTGTTTCTGGAACTGACCGACTTGTTGTTTCTTTCTAAAATTATTAACGGCCAAATGTGCATCGACTGGACCACGTATCTTATTCCTTACTCGAACCCCAGGTTACCGAACAAACTTTTCTGCCTCCATCGATCAAGAAAGAAATATGCCGGAAAACTTCTGGTACCGCGCAGCACGTGTCTCCAACAACTTGCCTGTATAAGTAAACTACTTGGAAGAAAATGGACTCAAAAGGCGACTTCTCGACTACTTATGGACTTAATTTAAAGACAATTTTTCTGAGACAAACCTTTGCACATGGCGCACTGTGTGCATATGAAACGATTGCCGACAATTCGCCTTCTGATTTACGATAATTTTGAGGGGAGTGCCCCCTTTCAACTCATGTTGTAGATTCATAATAATAATAATAATAGTTTCGATCTGCTGAGGTTTTTGATGATTTGAACTAACAAACTCGGTAATACAATTGAGCAATAATCCTTTTCGAGCGAACGAACCTACTCTATGTATAATTCATCTTATTGGAATAGAAAAATTTGGAATTGCCCTTGAGCCTAATGTACTAGTTTCTTAATTAATCTAATCATTTTTTAATTACTAGTTTCCTTAGATATGATTTTTTTTTGAAATTTAAGTTGTTTTGCAAAACATGTTCCGAACGCCTCATACGTACTCAGCTCGATTGTGATGAAGTGAGTCAGACAAAGATACACTTTCGAAGTTTTTCGGTTGGGTTATCTGGTGATGAACGATAGAGCTGGTTTCATTTAGTCTCATCTCAAGTACTAATGATTTCAGTTAAAAGTGGCTAGTGCAAGCTCTGGTACCAGAAGCGCCAGTGGTGGCGCTTCTTCGAGGGGAGCTTCAAGTAGAAAAGAACGCTCAGGAATTTCCTCCGAACATAAGATCTCAGAACATGAACCACATATCGGAAAATACAGATTTCACAAGACTATCGGAAAAGGAAATTTTGCCAAAGTGAAGCTAGCTAAACATCTCCCAACAGGACGAGAGGTATTTAATTTTTTAAAAAATATTTACCAATTGGTCTTTAATTTTATTGAATTAATATTGAATTCCCTTTCTAGGTTGCTGTTAAAATTATTGACCGGACGAAGTTGAATCAAAGTAGCTTGCAGAAGGTAAAATCCGTTTGAAATTTGAGAATATTGAGTTAAACCCGGTGATACATTTTTTTGTCTATTTTAAGCTATTCCGAGAGGTGAAAATAATGAAAATGCTGAACCATCCTAATATTGGTTTGTATTCTTACGTGTTTTCATTACCTCTGCGGATTTGCAAAAAGTATTATATCAATTCGGTTTAGTAAAACTTTTCGAAGTCATTGAAACGGACAATTCACTCTACTTGGTGATGGAGTATGCAAGTGGAGGTGAGGTCTTCGATTATCTGGTTGCACATGGACGAATGAAGGAGAAGGAAGCTAGAGCAAAATTTCGTCAGGTAAGTTTCAATTTGCTGAGCATGCCCATCTAGAAAGCATACTTATCCATTCTTTGCTAGAATGCTCAGCTAGAAAGCAAGAATTTAAGAAGTTTAACAAGGATAGCTGGTTGCCGTGCAAGTAGTTTGAATGTTCCGCCCACAAAAAAAAATACTACAAAAAAGTTAGTTTTTGTGCGTGGTGCGATGAAAGAACTAACAAATGCATAGAAATGTTGTGCAAATGTATCAAAAACAAAAAAACAGTAAAAAATTTGAGAAGTTTTTCTATATATATTTTTGCATAATATTTTTGTAATATTTATAGAAATTTTTTCGCCAAGGAAAACCTAAATGAATACCTTAAAGTAGTTTTCTTTTTTAAACTTTTCGGGCTAACAACAACTTTAACAAAATTAGTTAAATCATTTGATTTTAAAGCATTGTATGTTTATTCAAGAGATTCGATCAGAGTTTTTCTGCTGAGCTTTCGTCTTCATGGTTGTCGACGTAAGCTGTGTCGGTTTAGTTTCCAAGTTCTTTGTCCTCTTTTCATACGCTACTTATGTAGCTATCGTGGATCCTATATGGGCGTTACATGCTCATTTGTTCGATTTGATTTTTGACGAAAAATTTCGGCGGAGTCAGCTTGACTGCCGGCTTATTCCCCGATAGTCCTTTTGAGATCGATGACTCTGGCAGCAATCTTTGAAAGCCCTAAATTAACCTCATTAGGACTTCTATGACAAACCTAAACGAATTTAAACACAAAAAAATATTCTATTTTTTAAAAAAAATTTCTGTGTACTTCACTTCGTTCTTCATTTGTAACAGCGTTCGAAGTTCTTTGCTAGTTTTTGAGCGTCATGGTGCTTTCATCCGATAATTATTGTATCGCAAGTGGTGCGAAGCTCAGATTCGCATCTGTGTTCAAAACATTTTTTAAATTTTAAATGAGCATTTTTATATATCGAACGTTACTCGATTGCTTTATTCGCTCGTAATTATACTAAATATCAAAAATTTCAAACAGGTTTTTCTCGACGCTGGGACAACTTCTTGGAATTGTTTTAATGTTGTTCGAATCACGAGTGGAAAGGGCTTTAGCATTATATAACACTCGACCCATTACCATGATTACACAATCGGAGCGTAGTGAGATAGTACGATGCATTTTGTTTCCAATCTAAGTCGTAAATAAAAGTGTTCATTGGTAATGTTCACTTAGTTGATTGCATTTTTATATAATCACGACCTGGAGTGTAGAAATTTCATACCCCCTGTTCTGCTTTATTGGCGGCTAGTGTGTGCAGTTAATCAGGTGTCCGTGGATCAGAGTGGAGGACGTGAGATTCCTAAGCTACTTCGCGGAGGCTCAACGCCGCACTTAACACCCGTTTTTTTAAATTTTGGTGGCATTCTTGCTGCAAATTAGACTTTTTATAAGCATCTATACCTGCATCACTGTTGGCTATTTTTAGGATTTTTCGAATAGCCCCTAGCGCAGATGCGAGAACGTGAAACTCCAAATCTGTAGATTGCAGGCTCGAATCCGGCACTCATCAAACGTTTTACTAATTCGAGGTTCCGTTTTGCCTCTGCTTAAGACTTGTTTTTTAGTCGATTAAGGTGCTCAAGTTCATCGATACTGCCAACCATTTGGCATTAACAATAAAAACCTTTGTTATCAGAAAGAAGCTATTGGCCTTGGTGCGAAGTATCAATATAATCGATTATAATCGATTATCACTCAATGGCAAAACATGGCTCCAGGAATCAATTTTCTTTTTGGTGAAAGTGATTACAATGCTTTTGAATTTACAAATCTCAGGAAATATAGTTGCTTCGGTAACAATTAAAACCAGCAAAAGACATTGAAAACTTTCGTTATTTAAAATTTGGAAATCATTTTTTTTTCAAGAAATGTGGATTTGTATTTACACGTGAAACATAAGCGCATTGCAAACCCTAAAATTTTCAATATTTGACGTCGATGTCGTAGCATAATCGACATTTTGTGTAGATTGTGTCAGCTGTGCAATATTGTCATTCAAAGAAAATAATTCACCGCGACCTGAAGGTATGTAATCAGGAAGAACTAATAAAACTGAAATAATTATCAATGTTCTATCGTTCTATGCAGATAAATGTCTTTCGTTTTCAGGCTGAAAATCTGTTACTTGACCACGAAATGAACATAAAAATAGCTGATTTTGGGTTCAGCAATGAGTTCAGCGCCGGAAACAAGTTGGACACATTTTGTGGCAGTCCACCTTACGCTGCACCAGAGCTGTTCCAGGTGATTTAGGTTGAAACAATTTGATCGATTAATTAAAAACGTGTTCTAGCAAGGGGTTTAAATTTTCAGGGCAAAAAGTACGACGGTCCCGAAGTTGATGTTTGGAGTTTAGGAGTAATTTTGTACACATTAGTTAGTGGTTCGCTCCCATTTGACGGATCAAATTTAAAGGTGAGTGTATTTGAATAAGTGCTCAATCATAGACCGAGCGCGTGCCTTTAAGTGTTATAGTTAAAATAAAATGTTTACTTTCTAGGAGCTACGTGAACGTGTCCTTCGGGGTAAATACAGAATTCCATTTTACATGTCGACAGACTGTGAAAATCTTCTGAAGAGGTTCTTAGTTCTAAATCCCGTGAGGCGCTCATCCCTCGAAACTGTTATGCAAGACAGGTGGATGAATATAGGGTATGAAGATCAGCCCCTGATCCCCTACACTGAACCCGCTGTTGATAGTGGGGACGCAAAACGCATGGGTATGTCTCAGATTCTATCCTCGGATGATTTTTACTTCGAACTAATTGTGTGATAGGGAATCATATATTTAATAGATGCGCTTATGAAGATGGGGTACAACAGGGAAGATATAGAATACAGCATCTCCAACCAAAAGTACGACGAAATATTCGCCACGTACTTGTTGCTAGGAAGGAAATCACCAACAGATGTAAGTAGAAGTTTCAGTGATCTGATTGCAAAGATATATAATAACTCTTCAAAAGTCGCTGAAAAACTTGCGGTTTATTAAGAAGATTGTATAATCGTTCAAACGGATCTATATTTGTATATATAATTCTGGAGTCACGTATTTGCTCAGAAACATCTCAAGTTTTGGGGTTTTGTTTTGAATTAATCTTTTAATAGCTTGACCAAGAGTTATATGGAGGTTCAGCAAGGGGTACTGGGGAGCTGTATGTTTCTACATCTAAGCCGAGGTCCTCAGCCGATGCCATAGTTGGCACCTCTTCTGCTCGAAACTCAACCTACGATCCGGGGTCGGGGGCCAATAGGGGCTCATCTGCCGGACCCAGAACTGGCAACTCCACTAGAAGCGGCCACAATAGTTCCCGTTCCAAAGGAACAAATGAAGGTTATTTAAAGGCAGAGACCACATCGACTTTTTATCGGACTGATTTGGATGATTTAGCCCCAATTTCAGTGCAGGGCATAGGAAAACACTTAACTTCACTCGAATTGCCGGGGAACATCATGCTGATGAGTTCTTCATACAATGTAATATATTTTTAAAGCTATGATTTGTTGTCCATCTGCATTCGATAAGCCAAAAAAGTTAAATATAGTCGATGTGGCTTCTGTCTAGATTCTTTCTTATTGTACTAACCGACCTAATTTGTTTTTAAGTCTCACATTGAGGCACTGTTGTCTCCTCCGTTTGAGTACTGGGTAGGGGCTGTAGAGCAGCAGGAATCGCGCGCCCCCGCTCTGCCCAGAAGAAACCACAGTGCAGTAGCTCCCTGTAGTGCCAACGCCCCCTCGAAGACTAACCGCCCCAAATACTCCCACCACGTATCCCCTCCCCAAGATTATATGTTCACGCCAATAACCCCAACATCCCCGACGGGACCCCAAATGTTAGACATATCAGATGAAATGAAATCACCGGGACTGAGCATAGCACCATCCAGCAAGGTCCCTTACAGAGATTCGCCCTATGTTTACCCTGTGCCCTATCCAAAAAACTCAGGAGGAGACTCAGTGACAGCTGGTTCTTCCAGCTCACGTAAGTGTGTCTTGAAACCACACGTGGAAAACGGGTGCTGGTGATATGATTGGCTTCCACGTTAATGTTTTTGCTTTCCTGGTTCAAGATCTTGTCTAATGTGTTCTGTGGTTTTGGGATAAACTGCAATAAAAAGCTTATTTGAATTATCGAATGATCGATACTAAAAGCTCGATTTCCATAAAAAATATCCTAACAAAATTCTCAAGAGTAGCAGTGTGTACTGCTGTTGTTTACCCTTGCGATAGCAAGGGTTTTGCAATTGGGTACTAGACTTTTTCCCGTGAACAACTTTATCCACAGGACTCATTAAACTGGTCGTACCTTAGTTCATAATGAATTCAAAATTTGTAGTGTATCTTACGTAGTGAGTACTTTTATATAGGTCTAGGTGATTTTTTTTTCAGGAAAAAGTCTCAACGTTTGTTCACGCTCAATTTTAATTTTCGCGGTTTGACTTGTGATTTCTTTTAAAGTTCAGTCATTTCCATTGTTAAAAGGAAGACAAACTCCACTATTGAACAGCATAAGTGTAAAGATCACGAAAAATGTGATCGACTTCTAATTTCAAAAATGGATGATAATTTTTCATATTTCCAAGCGGAATAAAAGTTTTTCCTTTTCATCCAATTTTCTCTAATGGGGTTAGTTTTCACAAAAAAATGTTCATTTTTAATTGTTCTTTACATTCAAAAAGCTTCAAGGCGGCCATCTATATTTTTCTTCGAAATAAAAAAGTTGAAGGTTTTTTTTTCAAGTGGGTTTTTTTAAGTTTCCTTGCGTTCATTGCTATGTTTCATCTTATCGCAGCTGAACCCAAGAGTTCATTTTCAGCTGAAACGACCAGCTCATCGACAGGCATAATTTGAGAATGCTTGAATTGAAATGCCCACTATATTTGAAATTAATATTTTATCTTGGTTCCAGATTTACATTTTCCGATTTGCATAATTTCAAGTTTTCACCTTTTTTACTTCAAAGAGTTTAAGTGTCACTGAACGTAGTGAAGATGCTTTTATTAATCGTGACGATTTTTTTCAAAGAATAAAATCTGTTCACATTCAAGTTTTATTTTATCGCGGTTCATAATAATTTGTTCACGTTCAAGTTTTATTTTTGCGAGGTTTGACTTTTGAGTTTATTCCAGTTCAGTTCATTTCCCTTGCCAAAAGGAGCGCAAACACCCTTATGGAAAAGTATAAGTAATAAAATCACAAAATACCTGAAAGACTAATTCTTTCATAAATCGACTCAAGTTGTAAGATTTTCCAGTGAAAGAAAAACTTTCCTATTGATCCAGTTTTCTCACATAGGGGATAATTTTTAAAGAAAAGCGTCAACCAAAAATTGTTCCTGAAGTTCGAAAAGCTTCAAGGGTACATTTTTAAAACGTCGATGAACGTAAGGAGGACTCTTATATAGGTCTTAGTGGTTTTTTTGTTTTTTTTTTCAGGAAAAAGTCTTTGAAACTATTGATCTGCATTCATTCATAATTTGAATTCATTCTGTTAAAAGGTAAATCGTCTTCTCCAATTACGAACGTGTGAAAGGCGCAAAAAAACGTGAGCGACCTTAGTTTCGGAAGTGAAATTTAACTTAAAGATTTTTCAGCGGAATGAAAAACTTAATTGTTTCAAGTTTCCCATATTGAGTTAAATTATTATTGAATTTCAATCATAAATCTGTCTTGAATTTGAAAAGACTAAGGTCAAATATTTTTACTTTGATATTCGAAAGTTGAAGTTTGGTCAAAAATAAATCAGTTTTTTTTTCTTGCGTTCATTGACTTTTTTCCAACTATTTGTTGATTGTTTTTTTTTCTTTGGAGTTCGAAAGATTTTTTTTTCACAAAACGTCATAATTTCTTTTCTGTTTACTTGCGTTCATTGAGAATTTTTCCAAATGACTGTTGGAATTGTTCTTTTATGCTAATATTTTACGCTGGAATTTGTCGTTCTCGACATAATTTCTCATATTGAATTTCTTCGAGGAAAATCGTGATAATTTTTTTTCTGAGATCTAATTTTTTTCCATATTTTTGTCAACTAGATTGCCATGCTTCTCATATTGAATTTCTTCGAGGAAAATCGTGATAATTTTTTTTCTGAGATATAATTTTTCATATTTTTGTCAACTAGATTGCCATGCTATGTTTGCGATGTTTCGTAGGTGGTGCGAAGCTCGGCTTCGCCTCTGTGTTCCTACTGCTCTGGCTTCTTTTCACTGAATTGAGTTAGTTGTAAATCAATTTGTGAACTGGCATTTAGGCGGCAAATCGAGTAGACAGTCAGAAGGGGTGGGCACAGGAGTGTCCCAAAGGGACCCAACTCAAAACAGGAGTGGACGTTCATCTACGACCACAGACGGCGGAGCCAGTACGGCTGCTGGAACGAATGGAACAGGATCTGGCTCCAAAGTCCCCCTGTCCGCAATGGTCGCCTCCTCTACAAACTCCTCCAACAGGTGTGGCTTATTTTAAGTCTGATTTATTTTTATCATGGAATCGAGATACAAAATTTGTAAGCTAACAGAACCTTCAGTGGCGCTTTCAACTTGAATTTTTTTTTGCTCTCGTGAGCTCGTCCAGTTAATTTGGTTGATCGTCGATGAATTAAAAGTTCGAACGTTTTAGGCAAGGAAATGGCCGGAAAAGAAATTTATTTTGATTGTGATTCAAAAAAATAATTGACGAACAGAACAGTTAATCATAGTTTCAAAATAATCGTAGGTGTTTTCATGACTTCTTACCGTGAAGTCTCTCTGACTGGGGTAAACTACATTGGGATATATGCTGATCATAGGTCATCCACAGTCACAAACCCTTCGTCGCCACACGACAACCAAACGCCTGCCGCCGCATCTCAGTCCAACAATTCCTACACACAGGGAACCAACTCGAACGGAGGCAGTGGGGTCATGGCGTCTGCCACAGCTGGCAATGGCGGAGTATCCTCGGCATCCCAGAGGAAGAAGAGTGAACCATTCCAGGGCATGATCAGTGGCCACAAGACTAGCATTAACAATGCAACCGCTACGCCTGTCAACCCAAATGTTAGGGGACATTGAATTTGGCGTATTAAGTGTAAAAGAGTGAAGTGATTATCACTTATGTAGGTCTTGATGATTTTTTTAACTTCTTTCTCTGATAATAAGAGAAGTGAATTCATACATATTAATGCACTTGGGTATGTATGCACATTTTGAGTTCTATTTAAATTCATCTGCTAAAAGTTACGTAAATTGCAATCTCCAATTACGAAAACGGACAAAGCGGGGAAAAAACATGAACGACTTGAAGCTCGAAAGTAGGTTTTAGTTTTTAGTTCCCGGTGGAATAAAAAATGTGCCTAATGATGCAGTTTTTAGCCCTGTGATAAGCAAAGGTATTGCAATCGGGTACTAGACTTTTTCCCCGTAAATAATTTTGTTCTCAGGGTTTACTCATCTCCTGGAATCATTCATCTTCTGACGTGCTCAATTTTTTAAAATTCTAATAAAACTACTATATTTTAAGTAGTAATTAGATAAAGCCCGTTTCAGGTTTTAGTTATCTTCAATTTTTTTCGGGTTCGTGGTTTTCGTCATGTTGTTGTTACTTGCCCACAGGGGGCGCGTCATGCGAGCTTGGCCCGAGTCTAAGGAACATTGCTACTTCGGCCGACTGTAGCCACAGGTCTATTGGGGTCAGTTCAGTCGGATTTAAGGGGCAGTTAGAGGTGGAGAGTAGTATGGGGAGACGGACACTAGGGACAGTTCGGGAGGGGGGGGGGACATTGGGGTCTATTCTATTATAATGGTATTTTAAAAGGGATATCGGGTGGACGCAACGGGAGATTTTTGGGAGTGGGCGCGTCATTGACTGCATTTGTTACGTAGCTTGTGTAGATCCTTTTTTAGAGGTTTAAAACTATTAAAAACGAATTTGCGCTGGTCCCTGTTGACACGTTAAATGGGGTAAAATTGCTTGTCTCGAGATTATTTTGTAGAATTAATTGATTTGAAGTTAGGTTTGATTGTACTGAGAGGGGAGCGGAACTTACGATAGAAATTAAGGGGGTGGAAGTGAAGGTACGGTTTCGAAGAAAACTGGGTGGCTAGAAGTTTATGGTGCTGTTGCACGGTGCATTCAGTGTGTAGGTGGTTTTTGGTGCTCATCTTCGTGCACCCTGTCACAATACGGAGAGCTGCGTTTTGAACGACTTGTAATTTGTTCAGGGAGGAATTGCTTGCAGCGTTGTAGCAAACTGGGCATAATTAATTGAGTATTGATCTGATCGAAATTCATTAAAACAGTTGGTTTGGAGTTGAACTCTTTGTCGTGGGTGCTGAACAGGCTTATTGATCATTTCGAGAAGAACACTAGGTGTCCGTTCGTTAAAAACGTATAGAGCTCGTTTGAGTGATTGGTTAAAATGCCGGACGCCTCGAGGATACTACTTGAATAAGCAAAACGGTGAAAATCGTTGTCTGCGTAAGATTGAAGTTTTACTTAGGGTGGCCTTAGAGGAGCATCATTTACCTAAAAGCTTAAAAGAGAAAGAAAAGCGCTGAGCCTTGAGGAACCCCTGTACGGACACTCCTGGTTGTCGATTTTGTTTCTGAATAGGGTCCTGGCAGGGCGACTGCTAAGGTAATTTGAGAAGCATCTGACTGTCAGGTTAACTAGAGCCGAGCAATAGTTTGACTTAAGTACGATGGCATACCACATCGAAGGCCTTCGAAAAGTCAAAAGTGGCTAGTACTGTTCGTTTTTGGGGTCTTTTTTGGTTAAAACCATCTGATATAAAAAAAAATCTTTTGTTGATAGGGCTGTAGTAGTTGAGTGGAAGGGTCCGAACTCGTGTTGGTGGGGGTCTAGGTAGATGTCCGGCGAGTTTGGGATGTAATAGGGCTTCTAAAAGATTAACTGCTGGGCTGAGCATTGATACCGGACGATAAGCTTCGGACGATTTCAAATCTTTTTTGGTTTTGGGTTGAGTTTTTCCAGACGTGGGGTAATACATTATAATTGAGCAAGAGGTTGAAAGTGTGAGTGAGAAACTCAATTGCAATCGGCCCTAAGTATTCAAAAACTATGGTACACAGGCCGTCGGGACCTAGCGCTCTGGAGGTTTTAGTCGACTTGATGACTGTTGCTGTTAGTTAGTTAGTTAAGCGAGTCCACTCTATGTCCAATCCAGAGCTCTTGGGCCCAACTGTTATTAAGCGTTTTGAATAGCTGCGCATGAGGGACAACGTTGAAGCGTGTTTCTATGTCGGCAGTGTTTGACGCCAGCTGCACCTCGCATGAAGCTCCTAGTTGGGTATGGAGGGCTCGTAGCCGGTAGACTTCGCCGTCCGAAGACGTTGATCCCCCACACCACGGAGAGGTGTCTACCATGTGGGGGACTGTTGCTGTATCTATTGGATTGAATTCAACTTGGTTTTCTAGGCTAAGTTTATAGACTTTTCGCTTGGTTTCTCTCTGCGCCTTGTTTGATTGATGTTTTCTTTGTTGCGTACATGGTTGCTATTCGAAATGTCTTTTGCAGTAGAAAATTTTTTGGCTTTAAAATTGATTGGATGGTTTCCTGCCTCAGACTTCGCTCCGTGAAAGAGCGGACCACTTTCCAGAACTTGCATGACGCCGTGCGGTGACTGAATGTCTGGAGGAAGTCTCACCAACGTTTGTCTTTGCTCTTAGCAGTTAATTTCTGTATTTCGGTGTTTAAAAGACTTAGTTTCGGGTTAAAACTATCTTAAAATCGATTTTGGTCTCACTCCGCTGCCATGGATTTAGCTTCTGGGAGAGAACAGGTGGAAAAAGATGCCGTCCGGCAAGAATGGGGTCACGAGCGGCCGGTAAAATTGTCACTTTATTGTTTCTCCGCGGCGATTACATCATGCGGCAGGGTGAGTTATTCTAGTACGTGTTAATGTTTTCGCTAAAATTTGGCTAATTCGCTTTTTTGAAATTAATGTGGGTCTTTTTTCAGAGAGAATGGGATTTCGTCGTTCTAAAGAAGTTAGGTTAAAATAGGGAGATGATCTGATCCTTAAGTTAAGAGTTTGCCAACTCAAAGATATTAGAAGCGGAGGTGATGCTAAAGGTATATCCGGCGAAGACAATGATGTTGTATTGTCGTCAAGGGAGCCTGGTTGGTTAAAGTTGTTATGTCAAAGTTCAGGGGTAAAACTTGAATTGATAATTTCCTCGTTAAAAATTCCATCTCTGTGTCTTAAAGAATGTTGGAATTCCTATTCTTCAGTTAGAAACTGTGTGAAAGACGGTTTATAGTCATTCGGGAAGCTGCAGCCCGGGGGAAAGTAGAAGATTGGGATTCGGAGACTGGTTGTTTGCCTTTTTTTTAATGCTCTGAGCCTCCAGAATTCCGTCTTTTTTGCAGAGTTTTGTGTTGCGTTCAGCAGGCCTCCACCTTCTTGTATACTTCTTAAGTAGTGTGTAATTCAGGTCAATCGGGGGATATCGGTTACTTGGTTTCAGCTTGGTTTCTTAGAAGACTGCAAGGTGGATTTGCTTATCACATGGTAGGGCTGCAATTTCAGGGGCTTTGTCGAAAATACCATTGCAATATAATTGTAGTATGGTTAAATATTTTAAAACGTTCCGAGTTAAAAGAGGTTTTGCTGCGTGGAGGTTGACTGGAATTAGAATTTATCTGTGGGGTGCTTGAGACGCGATGTGAAAATGGGACGTTTGGCGGATTGTCGGTAGCGGGAGTAATTGGATTTTGGAAATCGTTTTTTTTACGGTTGGGAATATTAGTTAAAGGGGGGTAGAAGTATGTGGTTCTGGGAACAGGATGAGTAGTAAAAATCTCTGCGGTGGTCTTTGAGATTGGGGAGATTACTGCATTTAAAATGGTTCCACCCGCAAATGTAGCACCGCATATTTGCTTGGTTTGCTTTGATGACTTGGTTCGGGCCAGGGTTGGGATTTATGCCGGAGCAAAGTAGTAGGATTAATAGACGGAGCAGTCTGGCCGGCTTAGAAGCTCCGAACACAAAAAACCCGGCCTTTGCAAGCTATCTGCGCTCCCCTTTTGATCGGAGGTTGAGGTTGTGCCATTTGCAGAGGCGACGCTGTCTGTCAAGTCCACTGAAAGGCGGCACATCTGGACCCATGGGTTTTTGTCCTGGTTTCTGTCTGTTTATTTTTCTTCTTGTGAAACTCCTTTTTTTATCTGGTAGGGATCTTATTGTCTGGCTTTTTGAAACATGGGTTTTGCTCCAATTTCAACAGTTTTTATTAAAGCTGAAGTTTCACAATTTTGAATCTTTTTTTTCAATTTCTGTTTTCAATTTATGTTTCCCGGACTTAGTCAACGTATATTGCAAGTTTTATCCGTGCGATTATTTGTTTTAGTTTGGATGGGTCGTAAAAACTTGAAACTTACGAAATATATGACTCAAACAAGTTTCGACCCAAAGTTGTTGACTTTGTTGTTGATAGGTAAATGATTGGTTATTTTTGAAGGCTGTTTATGAGCTTTATCTGTTACGAAAATGAAGTTTTGTAGCTGTAATTTTAAAATTTTTTTTTAAAGTTTTATTTTTCGGAAAACTTTTTCATGTTTTTTTCATTCACCATCTTGTAGCGCATTGTGTTTTTTGCATTGCAAAATTTGTGTAGCTCCGTTTTGCCTCGGTATCCAGAATTGGGTCAATTTCATCAAAAAGGTGTTAACCGTTAACTGCTTATGAAATTCAAAGAGCTGAAACCTGATGTTTTTTTTTGGCTTCCTCAATGTCAATCAACCCTGTTCAATTGACACTATGCCCTTCTACCCTATACTATCCTACCCTATATACCAATCTACCCTGTGCCAGTCTATACTATACGCAACTCTACCTTTAAATTAAAACAATTGAAACTTACCCCATCTCTTTGAAAAATCCGAAGAAGAATATTTCCGAACAGATCATGATGCCATAATTTTTCATAAAAACAAATTGCCGCTTTTGAATAAAAACATCAAAGCAATATAAGATTTCTTTGCTCAAATTATAATTATGTTCTAAGCAAATACAAACAGAAATTAAGTTCATTTTTCATCCTAATAATTCGTTGCGTCTGTTTCTTAAATGAGCAAAAGTCATTTATCATCCAGTCATTTAGGCTGAGTGGATAATGCATAGTTGATAATTTTTTTCCTGTTTTTTTTTTCTGGGTTTCGTTTCAATAAAAACAGGTATACCATAACTGGAAATTTACAAATTTGGAAATTTATATGTCTTTTTATGAGTTTTTTTTTCGTTTTTTTTTTAAAAATAAAATACTTAAATTGTTTCAGTTTGTGTTTTATCGACTTAGTCAACATATATTGCGTAATTTTGAAGCCGAAATATATCTGTATGCGATTTTGTGTTTCAGTTTGGTTGGGTCGTAAAACTTATGAAAGTTTTTATGACACTAGTTTTGTTTTCGTCTAAACAGATTTCGACCCAAAATTTGCTGCTTGGTGAATGATTTCATTTTTTAAAGGATGAATTTCTTCTCTTACGAATTTCCTCTCTTATCTTCTTTTTCCAACTTATTTGCAGAAAGTTTTTTGGCTGTCCGTGTTCCCTCTCCATCTTGTCGCGCAATGTGTTTTTTCAATCGAAAGCTGAAATACATTCGAAAGCAACTCAATTGAGCCAGGGAAATAATCGACATAAGTCTTATTGAATCTGTTCAATATGTTCATCTTGTTTTCATTCAAGACTGTACTGTTTTCCACTTGGATTGCTATTTACCCCACTGCTGATTAAGTTATGAGAATTCGCTTGCTTAATCTGATCCAGGTGTGTGTAAAGTGATGGGTGACTGCCCTGGAAGAGCGCAGTAACGCTGAGATGCCATCCTTTTATGGCATTTGTCGTCCTTATAAGACCTGAACCTGTCTCTTCAGAGTGGTTTGATAGTGATATTTGGAAGAGGGTCGCGGCATGTTCGCCCGGTTGTTTCCCCTTTTATATTACTGCGTTGGCAATATGATGCAACGTAGTCCAGTTTTTGGCTTGTGTTAACCTTAAGGTCAAAACGATCCGCTACTCTGAGTTTCTTTAATTACTTGGCCAAAAAAGTCATCACTAAGTCAACAGGTGATTGTTTTGGGATAATCCTAGCGTAATATAATGTGATATGATAGAACTTAAGGGTGTGATAATTAGGCATAGGATAGATTGGCGTTGGGTAGATTGGCATATGATTTTTTGGTATATAGTAGAATGGCTTAGGGCAATTTGGGATAAGGTATATTGTCCTGTAATTTTCATTTTAATCTAAAGTTAAAAACGTTTTCAGTTTTTTTTTCGGTTTCCTTGTTCCTCCAGACTATTCCACCCTTCTGTTGGCTATGTTGAAAGAGATTTAGTTCAATTTCAATTCACTTTCAAGAATTTTACGTTTTTACGCCTGCGATTATTTACGAAGCTGATCGAAATAATTTTGGTGCTAGTTGCATAAATCTTTCTTGGATGGTCTGTAAAACAGGTTTGGCTTCATAAAAAGTGTCTTTGAAATTGATTCAATATTTGGACAAATCATTTTTTTTATTGTTCCCAGGATCCGACACAACATTCCAACTCATCATCCTCCGCAGCCGGACAGCAGATGGCCACAGTTGGGGCGGGAGACATGGAGTGTACCTCCTTCTCCGGCAACAACGCATCCCCTCCTGTAAATGGAAACCTCACTAGGATGAACACAGTCCTGAACCCCTCTGGTGGAACCGCCTCTCCGTCTGATGGGTCGCCTCCTTCGGTTCACTTGGCAGATGTGAATGCTAATCTAGCCCAGCCAGACCCCAGCAACTTAGAAAGGTAGGTTTTTCTAGGTTTGTTATCAATTTTCACTGGCTTACATTTTCAAATCAGTTGCACATCAGGTTTTTGAAGCACTGCTGATTATGCATGAGCCTGTTTACAACGTTATCCTTTCGTTTAGATGTGTTAACGCCAGGTGAGCGCAATAATTAACCGTTTTTGTTTGTCATTGTACTTTAGTGAGGTGCAAAAAGTTTGGACAGACTGAATTATTAAAAAAGAGTAATCGTCCCATTTTGACAGATATTTGCATGCAATTTCGTTTTTCAGACAAAACTTGTATGCAAAACATTCCCAAAATAGGTCAATTGCAATTTTTAATTAATTTTGTCTGTCCGAATTTTTTGTTACTAATTTTATATGCTACAGCGAATTCCACAATTTTTTCAGAGCAGGTTTTGCTTGTTCGCTGAATTAATGCCTCATGCAAACGTCTCTGATGACCTACCTTTTCTAAAACGAGCAAAAATGAGTGCAGCGTATCTCATTCATTGCATTTTAACTTCGGCTGCATTTAATTTGCAACCGTTGTTCTGTGAAGTTCCCTGTATGCCAAAAGTGTTCGAAACCATAGTGTTCTGAGGTTTGAATGTAGTCTGAAAATATGCTTAAGGCAATAATGAGAAACAAGCCAATAAGCAAAAATACATCATGGTCGTTTTTCATGCAATTTTTTTTCTTTATTCTTGTAAAGGCAATAAAAATGAGCGGCCACCTCTGTATTTAATAACCCCAAGAGGCATATTCTTTCGTTTCGACGTAGACGTGGTATTTGAGACACTAGCTACGCATTAAATTCCGTCTAGTGGTATTGTGTCTTTGAAGTTATCAAAGTACAATTGTCCTTGGCTGAAATCAAACGGAACGAAAATGAGGAACTGAATGATGATCGTCAGTAGTCTATACCACAATATGCTTCGTCCTTATATTACCGAATAAGGATCTGCACCTATGAAAGTATAAGAAAAAGTCTCTGGAGGTTAAATGATGGTCATTACGGGATGGGAGGGATTATACCATGCGCCAATCCATTAGCTAGATCAAAGCTTGATTAATTCACTCTCCATTTCTGGTATAAGCAGGCTTGTTTACTTGTCTGAATCTAGAGTAAACAGCTATTTCAGCCTGTTTGAAATTAGACTGGGTCGAAAGGATCTCAGTACTTTAGTGCAGCTGGACCTAAGGGTATTGTCGATTCAAATTGGAACTGTAGATAGTAGCTGCAGCTCAGTTTTTATGTTTAGCTAAATACCAAGTCAATGAAGTTATTGACTGAAGTAGTCTGATATGTACACCAGTTGAAGTGATGTTGGTTTGTTTGACACCGGTTTACCTTTCCAAAATCGCAAGGTCGTCCAACTGAAATACGCTGCCATGTATTGGATTTTTGTCAATGGAGATCTATATCTGACTCATCAAATGCATGTCATTTGGAGCCTAATGTTTGATATCTAAATAATGAATAGAATATTACTAACGTTTGATGTTTCGGGTTTTTATTGCATTTGCTTTAGGAAGTGTCTTGTAATTGGGCATTTTTTTTCCTGTAAAAATATTTATTACTGTCATGTTGCGGGAGTGACCTAGTTTTTTTAGGCTGCGTGGTAACAGTTTGAAAAATTCTAATATAAGGTAAAATTAGCTTGTGGCGTGAATTTTCATACGATTTTACCAAAAAGTGTCAATAATCTTTTGTTTTTGACCTTCAAAGAGCTATAAGGCCATATGTTTTTAAGTTCGAAAGTTGAAGGTTTCTAAAAAACATCATTTTTTCTTTTTTCTTGGAATAATTGGCTCTTTTCCAATTCCTGTTGGTTGTCTTTTTTCTCTAATTTTTAAATAATTTTACTTTGCATTTTTACTGTGCTTACACTTGCTACGACAACTCTCTTGTTATCGGATTTCACAGCGGAATAAAAGCTATTCCTAATAATCTGGTTGTCTCAAGTTGGGTCAATTTTACCATAAAAGTGCCAATAAAATTGTTTGTCCTTCAAAGAGCTTTAAGGCCATATGTTTTTTATTTGAAGTTCGAAAGTTAAAGTTTTCACAAAAAAAATCAAAGAATTTTTTTCTGCTTTTTTTTGCAATAATTGGCTCTTTTCCAATGTCTGTTGGTTGTCCATTTTTCACTTGTTTTTGAATAATTTTACTTTGAATTTTACTGTGTTTACACTTGCTACAACATTTCTCTTGTAATCGGGAATTAGACTTTTTTCACCGCGAACTGGCCTTTGTAATTGGGTACTAGACTTTTCTTACTAATCTTACTTGCGTCAATATGAAACCTCAAAACTTTATAGGTTCGTTCCCACCTGGGATAGTGTTATTTCTGTTGCCTTTTCTCTCCTAGGTCTGGAGTTGAAGTCCCGGCCGGAACTTTTTTTTAGTATGTATGAAATTGAAAGTTTTTTTTGGGGGAAAAATTGAATTGTCGGTCTTTAGTTTGTCTGCTGATGTTTATTCGTTTTTATTGCAACAAATGCGAACTTTTTTGTGCTTTCAACAATGTCATCGTAGATGCCAGTGTTTCGAATTTACAATAGTCTTATTTACACTAGCCATCAGCGTAGTGTATTAGTACGAACCTTTTTTTTCTAACCTAACTCGCAAATAAAAAGTGTTCATTGAAAGTGGAAAGTGTTAACTTATTTGGTGGCATTTTTGCTATAATCGTGGTCTAGCAGTGGAAATTTCATAGCGTCTGTTCTCTGCTTTATTTGTGGCTAATGTTTGTGATGTATTAAGCGTGCGTTTTGAGTGGTTAGTGCGTGAGACTTTCAATCTTCTAGTTCAAAGTAGGTCGCATGATCGAATGCAAGACAAAGCAGAACTTTTTTTTACTTCTACTTTTTTTGCAATTTATAGAGCTGCTTTTCCGTCGTGTTCTCGCTAGTGTTTGTGTATTTTCTTTTGTTATATTTTTTGTTTCGCTTAAAAGCTATATTTGGCCTAAATGGTTCGGCTTGTGTTAGTTAGCCTATTTTGTGTCGCTTAAAAGACAAAAATTGATCTTTTTTTAAAAAAAAGAAATTCAGGTAGTTTGTCTCGAGACTTTAAAGTTTTTTTATGACAACAATTTCTGTTTTTGGACAACAATGGCCATTGAACACAATGACATTTTTTTTTGTTTTCTGCTCAGTGGGCATCTATCCGCCTGTTGTCGGCTTAGTGGTCGCTTGGTAAACATTATTTCTATTTTTTCCCCAATTTTTGTTCCGATTTTGTAATTTGTCTCATTTTCTATTCGCTAGCTTGCAATGCTGCGCTTGAATTGTATCACTTTTTTGCGCGATTTGACTAATTATTTCTTTTTATTAGTTCAGTTCATTTGCTTTGTTAAAAGGAAGGGAAACTCAACTATCGAACTGCAAAGGTCACGAAAAACAGTTTTGTTTTTGTGCTCATCAAATTGAAACATTTTTGCCGAATGCAAAACTATACAACTTTCAAATATGAAAGCGTAAATCTGAAACACAAGGTTCTTAAATTTGTGTTAGAAATGATTGCTTCACTTGCGGTGAATTTGTTCAAAAAGGCTGTTTTAGTCAATTTTTGGAGTACTCAATTATGTCTGGTTCAATTGAAGCATGTTGATTCATAGTTTGCCAATTTTGTAGCTTAAAGTGAAGCATTTTTGGTACCCCAAATTCTTAAGAGCTCTATATTGCTTTATGTATAAGCCCTTTTAGTTTGGTTTCGCACTCAGTTTCAAAAAAGTTCCAAAAAGTTTTTATCGACTATTGGTTTTGAATTTATCCGCTTTTTAGACCTATCTGCACAGAGGAATAGAGTGAGAGATTGAATGTCCTGTAGTTTTTTACTTAGTGTCTTAGTACGAACCTTCGTTTTTCTAATCTAACTTGCACATAAAAAAGTGTTCATTAAAAGAGTGCACTCATTTGTGTGCCTTAATGCTATAATCACAGTCTGCAGCATTGAAATTTTCGTATCATCTCTACTCTGCTTTCTTTGTTGTTAATGTTTGTGATTTATTTAGCGTCCGTGGCTGAGTGGTTAGTGTGTGAGACTCATATTCTCAAGGTCGCAGATCAAATCCGAGCAGCCGAATTTTTACCAAATCGAGGCTTATTTCTACCTTTTCAAAATGTACTTCATAGAGCTGCTTTTTGTCGAGTTCTTGTTAGTGTTTGTTAAGCAAAGCTTCACCTCTGTGTAAGATTCGTTGAATATGGAGAAGACGAAAACGTGATCGACTTTTAGCTTAGATTTTGTTTTTGAGATTTCCCGGAAGTTCTTTTGTACATTTTGATGCAGTTTTTTCAAGTAGAGCTAATTTTATCAAAACGGTGTCAATTTTTACACTTGCAAGCTATCGATTGTAGTAATAAAATGGTTTACTAAATCGAGGCGTATTTCTATCTTTTCTTATTTAACTTTTTGGAGCTACTCTTTCTCGTTTTCTCCCTAGTGTTTGCGAAGTGCAGCTTAGTCTCTGTGTGAGTTGTTCAATGTCAAAAAGCTGCAAGGCCATGTTTTTTTACTCAAAATTCCAAAGCTTAAGTTTTTTCAAAAATCAGTTTTTTCACTCTTTTGTTCATGTTTTGAACATTTTAGTGTGATTTAAGCTCTCATATTTTGAATTTTTTGAAATAGCCAACAGATTTAACTGATAATAGGCTTCAGGAGAGTACATATTATCTTTAAAAATCCTATTTAAGCCATATGGTATTTTCATAACAAAGATAACGTATAAGTTTTGGTTGTTCAAGTGTCAATGAACGTTGTGGGGACATTTATATAAGTCCTAATGTTTTTTTTTGTTTGCTCACAAAAATTTGGAAATTTTATTACGCTCAATTCTAATTTATCGCGGTTTGGCTCATGATTTTGTGGTAAATAAGCACTTTGAAATAAAAAAAATATGAAATAAGTAGATTTTCTGAAATTTACAATTTAGCTATTTATCTTTACTGCCTTCACACTGGGCACTTTTGAGCCAACTTGCTAAACCACATAGATAATTTGAATGCAAACCTGTTAGCTTATAAACTCACCACGAAAAAAACCTCAGAAAACTTTGGCTTTTCGACTTTGATTTTTTTTCTACTTCAAATGAAGGTACTTAGTTATTTTTTTTTTGCAAATGGTTAGTCCAAAATATCAAGAAAATAAATTTTTGAAGAAACCTATGAATTGTTTTCATTTTACTTTTTATTTGCATCTTCGATCTTCTGATATGACCCACCTAGTGTTTAACGCTCGATAATACGCTCGAATAAGATGTCGGGAGACATTCAATTTGTTCAATTGAACGGAAGTTAGCTGAGCAGAAAGAAAGGTCTTAAAAAATTTAAACTTAAAATTTTTTAACTGTTCAATTGGACAGGGTATATCTAAGTCAAAAGAAAAATGAAATGTTAAACATTGCACTCGTTAGTTTTTTTACACAAGCAAAGCTTGTGTTATAGTATGAACAAAATGTTGCGTCAAAATGTGAAAGTGTTCATTTTGAAAGGGTTAATTTTGATCAAAAACCAGCTATTAAGTGCAGCCATTGCTAGGGATATACGCACAGACTTTTATATTACAAATATCACTTTAGCTTCAAGGTATCATAGATCTGTAGCGTAAAAGTAGGGAAGGAGAGCCGCAACAAAATAAGAGGGTTCGAACCTGGGCATGGTTGGATGTTCTTAATGAACTTTTTGGTATACTGGCTAAAATGCGTCCGCTCTATAAATTGAGGCATGCTAGTTGGTAAATTTCTTTTTTTTCTTCAAATTGACTGGTACTGATAATGCGTCATAATTGGCTTGCGTTACTTAGCAATTATGTAGACTCGTAATTGACGTGAGTCACTTAAGATGTTTTCTAGGCTCAAAGTTTTACTAGAGTCAAAGTTTTGCTCATTTTGTTTTTCCCAGTAGCATTATCGGTCATATTTTTGCTTGTTATGCGAAGTGCAACTTCGCCTGTGTAAACATTAGGCCTGATGCTAGTTGTTCACACTTGCGAGCCTAGTGTACTAGTACGAATCTTTTTTTCCAATCTAACTCCCAATCAGAGATGCTTAGTTGGTGGCACTTTCGCTATTATCACAATCTATAGCATTGAAAATTTCATAGCATTTGTTCTCTGCTTTTTTGGCTAGTGTTAGCGAATTGTTAAGAGTATTTGGCTGAGTGGTTAGTGCATTAGACTAATAATATGTAGGTAGCAGGATTGTATCCGACACGTAGCCGAATTTTAACTAATACTTGGTTTGTGTCTACTTTTTCTTTTTTCATTTTATAGAGCTGCTTTTTATCCGTGTTTTCGGTAGTGTGTTGTTTTTTTGTTCGGAAAATTAACAGAAATTATATTGCATACTAGGGTTTTTGGAAGAGCGAGAATACCCTTAATGAAGAAATGTTATGTGTTATTTTTCGTGCTTAAATTTTACACATTGGTAAATGGTGTATGTCACAGAATTTGAATTCGGATAAATAGTGAGTTTATCTCAACATTCGACCAGGACCAATCAATGTGTTCTTATAACCGCGAATAAACAGTTAAAATTAATGTATAGATACTATTAATTACACTTGCGAGCAGCTAGTGTATCATTACGAGCTTTCTTTTTTTCTAACCTAACTTGCAAATAATAGTGTTTATTATTTGGTAGCACTTCAGCTATAATCACGATCTGTAGCATTGGAAATTTTATAGCATCTGTTCTCTGCTTTATTTGTGTCTAATGTTTGAAAGAATTTCAGTGTCTGTGGTTCAGTGGTTAGTGCGTGAGATAAATAATTTCTAGATCGCGAGCGGTCGAAGATCGAATCCGAGACGTTGCCGAATTTTTGCTAATTTGAGGCTTATTTCTTCTTTTTCTTTTTTCATTTTATAAAGCTGCGTTTTATCCGTGCTTTCGCTAGTGTTTGCGAAGCGTATCTTCGCCTCTCTGTTTAAAATTTTCCGAATTTTTTCATAAAAAGCCAGTTTTTTTTTCTGTTTACTTGCGTTCATGGATTTCTTCTTATTTAAGATTTCAGCAAGCTTGTTCAATTTTTTGTTTGCCTTCGAATGCCTCTTCATTCCAGAGAAAGTAATGATTGGCGGCTTGTCTTGATTTTTTTTGAAATCATGATCAGCTCTGATTAAGCCGTTTCAAAAATATGTGAATGCAAATATTACGACGTAAAAATAGTTTTATTTTTTTCTTTTTCCCATATTTCCCCTACTTCGATTTTTAAGTGAGCTGTATGGATCATACATGTAGGAGAATGGCCAGATTGTTTCCTATTTTGTAATGTTTCGAAGTGTGAAAATATGAAATTTGTCACGATTTTACGGTTTTTTATAGTCACATTTTTACGCTCCAGGGTTGTATCACTGTGTAAAAAAATCAATAGTTTTTTTTTCCTTTTTTACTCTAGTTTTTTGACGCTTGTTCAGCTGTTTGATGGCTATGTTCTTCAAAATGACAAAAATCGAAAATATAAAGTTAAAGGTATTGCTTTTTTTGTTTCGTCTCGGCCATCCTTACGGCAGAATAATTTGATGGCATTATGGAGTGAATTGTCCATTTGATTTAGCGTGGAAGAATCACGAGTACGGAACTCGGCCGTTCATCAGTTAGATGCGTCCCCTACCAATCCTTTTTATAATCCCACTTACGGCCACTCAAATATTGGCAACTCGGAAAGTCACCCCTCTCTCCCCACCAGACCAAGCACTGCAGGCGGAGGACAGCCTTTCCGGCTGGGTCAGTTGTCCAGCGGGGTCCAGGATTTCAACCCTCAAGGAGTTGTATACCCCTTCGCAATGCACAACGAACAGTCGTTCCTTCCCTATGGCACCGACCAGTTCGACCCAGAAAATCCTAGGTGGCCTTGATAGATATGCTATGTGGACAACCTGATTGTTTGAATCCGTTTCATATTTGAGCTTGAGTTACTTGGCTGAATGGAACTTTTGGTTTCCTCGTTTGTTTTGTTGGAAATTCCGTCACACTTAACCTGACTAAATTGAGTTCAATTGACTTCTTCAGTGTCTGTAGATATAACCTAGAGTTCATATTCCTTAGATGCTTTTTCTACTGACTCAATTCTTAGAGTGCCTTCACTTTCAACTTTCTTTGGGTTCTTTCTTGAAAAGTAAAATATGTAAAATATGAACTAACGCAACTAACTAATGCTACTGTATGTGTATGTGCAGCCTGAGTGGCAAATCGGCAGATGTAGTGGCAACTCCCTCCAGCAATGTTCCCTTGGCCCATACACAAACCCAAGTCAACACTGGAACCACTACGTCGACCACAACCCCAGCTAGTGTGTTGTCAAACAAGTATGTCACGGATACCACAACATCACCTATGTCCATGATCTCGTCCGTAGCTGCAACTATGGCCTCATCTATGAACACAGATCGCCACTCTAGCATAGTATCATCATCAACATCATCCTCAACTCACAGAAACAGTGCCAGACAAAGGCATACTATGCATCTCATAACGGCAAAGCCGGTGGTAACAGGAACGACTGGATCCCCAGGCCAGCTGTTCTATAACCTACAATCCCCAAGAGCTCCAATCGAGTCGACAGGAGTCGAAATATCAACAGGGGCAGTAGTTATCGAGTAAGAGAAGAGACAAACGAAGCTCTGATCTGTTCGAGAATCCTCTATCTTGTTCTATTCTGTTCTGTTCTGTCGTATTCTGCTGACCTTGTCTTAATCTCTATCTCTAGTTTGCATAAACCCACTTGTTCATGCGTCTATTCATTTTAGCCTTACTGATAGCTATGTCTTATCATTTTATCTGTCAAGCGCTTGTAGATTGTCTCAGACTTAGAAAGTTACTACGAAATTTGTCTTGAGGACCAACTTTTACCTATGTTACTACAGAACGATGTGGTAGTTTCACGTGCTGTTATGTCCAGACTATACGGCCTCATTTGTATGTTTTGACTTTGTAACAAATCTAAAATATATAAATGGTTTGGTTATTCGACTAGAAGAGCTTAACATTTATTTCAGTTCGCCCTCCTCAACTAGCGGAGTTGGCTTAGCCAGAATGCAGCCCACGTCACAGCAACAACCAAGTCTCCATTCTGGGTCAGTGAGAGGTGCCCCTCCTGGCTCCCAAATTGCACCTCAAGGTCCATCCCCTCAGAACCCCTCGCTGTCGAGACAAGTTGCGGGCAGGCAAACATATCACGGGGGTCCTGTTAAGGATCACCGGACAGCCCTAAACATCCCTCCCGCGGCAAACGTCAACCCAGCAGCCCCCTCTTCAGCAAAAGGGGCCAACCAGGGTGGTCATAGTGAGTTCACAAGAGGCAGCTCAGTGCAAGCATCGCTGTTCGAAAGAATATCAAACCGATTCAGCAAGAGGTAAGTTTTTTTCATTCCCTATCAATTTGCAGGCTAAATGGCTCAAGGGCTGTTATGATTTTTTTAGAATAAGTGTTGCTCGTTGTAATGCCTAACTTCTCTGTGATTTATGTGCATGAATATTGTTCTCTATCCTGATAGTGGCGCATGCAGGTGGTGGCGGTGTGTTGAGTCAATTTATAGAAGCTTATAAATAATCATTCTATTAACTAAAAGAGATGCTTGATATGATGTTACTGACTTAGGGAAATCATGCTCTCTATTTCAATGGTTAATCGACCGCAATTGCTTCTATAATGATGCTGAAGATGAAATGAATGAGAATTGGGTGGATGATTTTGTAGAAAAAAGTCGTCTAAAAGGGAAAGAAGACACACAAGAAGAAGTTCTGTAGACATCACTGTTTTGCTGTTCTGTGGCAGTTCTAAGGCTGACCGTAGTCCAAAGAGTCGTAATAGACACTCTAGTACCGGAGACGTATACGAGGCAGCGGCCGGTGCTTATAGCATGGGGAACTCGCCCTTAGTAGATAAGAGGCAACAGTTAGTTGGAAACTAAAATAGTCTGTCATTTAAACATCGGTTGATAACTCGAAGCTGGAATTTCAACATATTCCATGCATTCAATTCTGTCAGAGTTTTCACTATGCAATATCTAATGGTTTACAAATCAACCTCATGTTATTGAGTCATGCAACCATACCAATTAAGATCATTCATTATTTTCTCATTTTTGGTCACATATCAATATTCAGATTGCTTTCTGCATTGATGAGCGAAAAACAAAGTGGCTGAAATTTGAAACGAGCGTAGTATTTCGTGCAGGGGCATTTAAGGTTCCTTGTTATCTGAAATAGTATTTTTAGGCAATGATCGTTTGGTTGTTCAATCTCATAGCTCCATATGATAATTTTTTCTTTAACGGCACTAAAAATGCATTAAATACTTTCGCCTTATCAAAATGAAAGGTTGTCGTCGTGGACACGTTAAATGTCAAAAATTCCGAAAAACTTTGTATTAATGAATAGTTGAAAAGTTATGAAATATGACTTAATTCTCGAATGGTCGACTACGATTTGGTGTTCTTTGACAAAAAGCCTGGAAAAAAGATCCCCTGGAAATTGACTCGCTTTGGATGAAGAAAGTTATTGGTGTTTTGCAGGTTCAAAAACGACCTTCCTAGTAGCAAGTCCTCTTCTCGCTTTCAGTCCAGGTAAACAGCGAATATCCTCGAATATTTTACTTTCATCTTTCTCTACTATAAACTAACGCTTCTACCATTCTGTTTCATGTTGATTGCCCTTTGTTTTGTATTTTACTGCGCTTGAATTAGTTCTGTTTTTAATTGTAGAGCATGCAAATATAAATAGATTAGTACAGTGCTGATTTAAATTAACCGGACACGAGAAACATTTGAAACTTCAAAACCATTTTCTCAAACCGGGTTAAGTTTAGACTAAAAGTGAACGAAATAAAAATTGCTCAGGTTTTCACCAAATAATTTGGTGAATTTTATTTTGCAAAATTCGCAACTAAATTTTTACCACATTTATGGGTAATTTTGGCTGTTTTCTAATTAATCAAAAATTACGCTGAAACTTAATATCAAAAGAAGCCTTTTGCACAGCCCATTAAAGTTCTAGAAGGGTAAGACTTCGAAAAAGCTGTATAAGATAATGTATTTTTGGTTGAAAGCCAAAAAAGATCATATTTACCATATAAAAATCTAAATCTTTGCTTAAAACCAAATTTAAAACGCTTTTACGCAAGTTTTAGGAACTTTTACTCTTCTAGAACTTTGTTGGGTGGTGCAAAAGGCTTCTTTTTTTAAAAAAAAATTGTTTTATCAATCAAATAGGTAGTTTCAGCGTGATTTTCGAATTATAGGAAAAAGCCAAAATTACCCATTTTTGAGGTACCATAATAATTTTGGTGAAATTCTGAGCAAATTTTATTCTCATCGCTTTTAATCTTTTCAAACCCAATTCGAGAAAAACGTGTTTGAATTTTCAAATTTTGTTCGTTTTTTCCGGATAATTTAAATCAGCACTGTATTAAGTTATGAGATGTTTGTGTGATAATTTTGTTTGAAATTAGCATTTTATGTGTCAGTGAACGTACTGAAGACACTTATATAGGTTGTGATGATTTTTTTTCAAGAAGAAAGGAAATTATATTTTTTGCGGTTGACTTTTGACTTCTTTTTAAGTTTTGTTCATTTCCAGTTTTGTTCAGGTCGCATATAAAGTTTTGAAAGTGAGTTGTAATTCTTAGATTTTTCAGCGGAATAAAAAGTACTCTATTAATCCAGTTTTCTCAAATTGCATTAGTTTCTTCAAAAAAAGTCAATCATCAATTTTGTGTAGACTTGTGATAGCAAGTTTTGCAACCTAGTTTTACCGGGTCAACAAGTTTTTTTCCGTAAATAACTCTGTTCTTGGATTTCAGCACCTAACGTATTGTCTGCACACTTGCTTCTTTTTGTTTTAGGAATCGATGAACATAGTGAGGACGCTTATATAAGTCTTTGTGATTTTTTATTCTCCTTTTTCATAAAATTGTTTAGGCTTGCAATTCGCAAGCGTTTTCAAATGGGAATAAAGATTTTTTTTTCGGGTTAACAACTAGTTTAACAGAATCTCTTGAATCATTTCTACCTTTGTTTCATCTGAAATCAAAAGTCAGACGTTGATTCGCGCATATAGCGAGGAGGTAACGCACCTGCCTGCAAAGACAAAGGTCAATGATTTTGCAAGGACCTGTTTTTTTCTAAACGAAAAATTCTCCCCGCGTCAAAAAGTCTTTATGAGCTTCTGTTTGTCTGCTTGTTTTTGGCACAGCAGCAAATTTGCCTAAAGTTTGGGAACTTATAAATTGCATTCATTGTGGTTGAATAATTTCAGAGTATTTCAGTTTTAGCAAGTTATTGAATTCCAAGAAATAGAGCTAATTTTTTTGCTATTTGATCTTTTTCATAAATGCATATTATAACCTTTTGGAAATGGTTTTCTTTATAAATACAAGGAGTATTATGTGCATTCGATGCAGTATTATCAGCCATGCTGAAGGCGACAAATACCGGATTCTTAAAGTTTCAAATGGTGCAGTTAATTTTGTTCCAGTTTTTTGAAAAAGGACAATTTTTTGTAAGTTTTTTCAGTTTTTGTTTGTCTTTTCATTTGCTTTAATCATAGTCAATAATTTTTCAATTGCAAGTGGTTGAAAGCTCAAATTCGCCTCTGTGTTCGAAGAAGTTTCACGTTAACTACGAAAATTGGTTTGTAACTATCAGATTTCCCAGCGGAATAAGAATTTTGATCCAGTTTTCTCGTATTCAGTTAATTTTTATCATAATGTCAATATAAACTGTTCCTGAATTTCAGTCACCTTCAAGGCGATATAATTTTGAAGTTCGATAATTGAAGTTTTTTTTTCTGAAAAACAACTCAGTTTGTTGTTTCTTTGCGTTCATTGTTCAACAGTCTTTTAATTAACTTCACTGTGGATCCCTCAATGTTTGTCGATTATGTTTGCGGTAAAAATCATAAATTAAATTTAAGTTTTTCCTGATTTCTCGATTTGTGGTTTTCTGTTTATTTTTTGTCGGCTTAGTTTCTGATTTTTTTTTGCCAGCCACTTCCACCCTTTTCTTAGTGCTTTTTATGGAGGGTTGAACTCTAAGTAGTTTTTTGATTGTAAACTTTATCAGACATAAAATTTTTCGGCTTTATTGATCAATTTTTTCAATTTTACATCAAAAGCATAGCATTTTATTGGATAATTGTTTGTGTTGAGTTTACGTAAATTAAATACCTATTCTCTCGATCCTAAATTTTGTCAGATTCAGTATAGTGAATAGTGTGTGTCGACGATGAAAACCTTATTGTGGAAAGAGCAAAAAATTGCTTCAAATTGTTGATTTTTTTCTTTTGTTGAAAATCGTTTATCTTCTTTTTTCCACTTGCGATAGCAAGTGTGTTGCAGTCGGTTACTAGACTTTTTACCCTTAATAATTTTGTTCACAGGACTCATCTGAGCAAACTTCTCGGAGGCCTCTGCTGTCAACAAATTTTTCATAAAAGACATCTTTTGTGCGTGTTAGCATTTTAATTATCCGGCCTTTTTGGCACTTATGTTACAATGACGATCTGTAGCAGTGGAAATTTCTTAGCATCCGTTCTCTGTTTTATTTGTGCCCAGTGTTTGTGATTTATTAAGCATCCGTGGCTGAGTCGTTAGTGCCTGAGATTCATAATGGCTAGGTCGCAAATCGAATCCGAGACGCAGCAGAATTTTATTAATTCGAGGCCTATTTCTACTTTTTCTTTCTACACTCTATGGAGCTGCTTTTTTGTAGAGTTCTCACTGTGTCACAATTAGTTTTAATGTTGTGGTCTTACCACGTTTGTAGTTTTACCAGAATGTAATCTTCAAATTTCCCGGCGGAATAAAAAATTTTACCTGAATATTTACCCAGTTCTCTCAAATGGGGTTAGTTTTATCTAAAAATTGCCATTGATACCTTGTTCTTGAACTTCAAAGAGCTCTGAGCCCATCTATTTTATAATTTGAAAATACCTTGAAGTTTTTTCAAAAACCATGTCTTTTTTTGTCTCATTGCATTCATTGGCTCTTTTCCAACTATCTGTTGACTGTGTTTAGGATATCATTTTTTTATAATCGGCATTTTTGGTTGATTAGCAGGCGATGAACGTAGTTCAGACTCATATATAGGTCGCGATGACTTTTTTTAGGAAAAGTACAATTTGTTCAGACTCAAATTTACTTTTTTTGCGGTTAAGTTTTTGTTTTCTGAAGTTCAGTTCAATTCCATGTAAAGGAAGGCTAACGCCACTATCGAAAAGCGAAATTGTTAAGGTCACTAAAACATGATCGACTTCTAAATTCGAAAATGTTACTGTTGATTCAGTTTTCCCAAATTGCGTTTATTTTATCAAAAAAGTAATATTAGTTGTTCTAGAAATTCAGAGAGCTTAAAGGCCATTTTTTTCTTAATTCGAAAATAGAGATTTTCTCTGTTTACTTGCCTTTTTGCTGTTTACTTGCGTTCATTGACTCGTTTTCAACTGTCTCTTGGCTATGTTGTTCAAATTTATCCGAATGTTTTTTTTCAATTTTTGAAAATTATTTATTGCAGGTTTTTTTTTATTTATCGTTTTTTGTGCTTTCCTCAAGCTTTAATTGCTTATGATTTTTTTGGTGAAATTTGAAAAGTAGTTTTATTTAATTTAAAGCAGTTTTTGCTTCTGTTTGCTCGCGTGCATTAACTCTTTTCCAACTGTCCAGTGTTTATGTTCAAACTGAATCAGACTTCATGATATAAACAAGCGAAGATCTTATCCTTTTGCGACTATTTTTCTTAATCCAACTGATATTCGGAGCTCTCCTTGAGCAATAAGCGTGTCATTTTATGCCGGCAAAATTTGTTTAGTGTTTGATATATTTAATTAAAAGTTCGCAGTTTTGAGAGCTTTCTGATTCTTTCAAGTTTCGTACGAAATTTGTGTTATATTTCGGGGTAATTCACATTTTCTCATATTTTGAATCGTTTTTTAATTAAAAGACTTCTGTAAAGTCTGACATAGGTTTTCTTAAAACAATGCAAATGTGAACTCAATTTACTTCAAATGAAAATGGCTTTATTGAATCTTTTCAAGGTGATATTATTGTAAAGGGTTACCTAGAAGTATGCTTATGGTTATTTTTTTTGTTTTGGTGCTAAGTCGTGTTCTTTGAGACACCGTTTTAATTTTGATTTCCGATTGGAGCTAGAATGGTATCTTCATGTATGTCGCAAAAGATTCTGCTTTCTCTTGATTCATAATTAAGTCAAAGATGTGGAATTTAAGCCGTTGATTCAGTTTTACCAATTTGCGTTTATTTTATCAAAAAAAGTAATTATTAGTTGTTCTAGAAATTCAGAGAGCTCAAAGGCCATTTTTTTCTTAATTCGAAAATTAAGATTTTCTCTGTTTACTTGCCTTTTTGCTTTTTGCTGTTTACTTGCGTTCATTGACTCGTTTTCAACTGTCACTTGGCTGTTGTTCAAATTTATCCGAATGTTTTTTTTTCAATTTTTTAAAATCATTTATTGCAGGTGTTTTTTTATTTATCGTTTTTTTGCTTTCCTTAAGCTTTAAATGCTTATGATTATCTTGTTGAAATTTGAAAAGTAGTTTTATTTAATTTAAAGCAGTTTTTGCTTCTGTTTTCTCGCGTGCATTAACTCTTTTCCAACTGTCCAGTGTTAATGTTCAAACTGAATCAGACTTCATGATATAAACAAGCGAAGATCTTATCCTTTTGCTACTCTTTTTCTTAATCCAACTGATATTCCGAGCTCTCCTTGAGCAATAACCGCGTCATTTTATGCCCGCAAAATTTTTTTAGTGTTTGATATATTTAAGCAAAAGATCGCAGTTTTGAGAGCTTTCTGATTCTTTCAAGTTTCGTACGAAATTTGTGTTATATTTCGGGGGTAATGCACATTTTCTCCTATTTTTAATCGTTTTTTTTTTATTAAAAGACTTCTGTAAAATATGACATAGGTTTTCTTAAAACAATGCAAATGTGAACTCAATTTACGTCAAATGAAAATGGCTTTTTGAATCTTTTCAAGGTGATATTTTTGTAAAGGGTTACCTAGAAGTTTGCTTATGATTATTTTTTGTGTTGGTGCTAAGTCGTGTTCTTTGAGACACCGTTTTAATTTTGATTTCCGATTGGAGCTAAAATTGTATCTTCATGTATGTCGCAAAAGATTCTGCTTTCTTTTGATTCATAATTAAGTCAAAGATGTGGAATTTATGCCGTTTAGGTTTTAATAGTGGGATATTCATTATGAGATTTTTCAGCGGAGCTCATTTTTTCCCCAACCCAACTCGCTTAATTCAGTGATCAGTTCTGACAAAATCTCTGAAATGTCAACAATTAGAATTTCAGCATTGGCAATATAAAAGGGTATGCTGTATCTGCTTTTTTTTATGGCGAGTGATTGAAGACAGCAAGGCGGTATGGCGCAGTTGACAGGCCATTATACACTAACCGTGAAAGTGAGGGATGAAATAACCTCTGCTCTCTATGTGATTTGAAACCCCACTCTCGCTATTAGAGTCTAGTTTTCTGACTACTGCGCCATACCGCCTTGCTGATAAAGAGTCGATGAACGTAGCTGAGATTCTTATGTGGGTCGTAATGTTTTTTTTTTCATTTTCCCTTTGTTAAAAGGAATGCAAACTCCACTATCGAGCAGTGAAAGTATGAAGGCCGCGAAAAACGTAATCGAATTCTAATTTCGAAAATGGACATAAACAGGTTTCCCAGCAAAATTTTACCCATTGATCAAATTTTTTCAAAGTGGGATATTTTTATCGAAAAAACTTCTATCATAAATAATTCTAGAAATTCAAAGAGCGCTAGGCTATTTTTTCTTTGATAGTTGAAAAAAATGAAAAATGTTTAAAAAAACACGGTTTGCTTGTTTTTTCACGGTTTCTGAGTTTGATTAAACTAGCGAAGTTGCGAGCGTAGTTAATCAGTATAAATCTACTTTTTGTTCAAACTAATTCGCAACCTAGTTCGCAAAAGTGCCACCATTTGTGGCTCTTTTGCTATAGTCACAATCTTTAGCATTGGAAATTTCATATCATCAGTTCTCTGCTTTATTTGTAGCTAGTGTTTGTGTATTTTTAAGAGTCGGCCGAGTGGTAAGGGCGTGAGAGTCTCAGTTTCTAGGTCGCAGGTTCGAATTGTACACGTAGCAGATTTTTTTCAGTAATTCGAGGCTGATTTCTGCCTTCTCTTATTTCACTTTATTGAGCTGCTTTTTGTCGTGTTCTGGCTAATGTTTGCGAAGCGCAGGTTCGCCTCTGTGTAAATTATTTTTCTACTGTTTTTTGGCTTTATTTTGAACAATTGGCGGACTTGGGGTTTCTGTTCTTAACTTCGCTTTTGTGTCGAATTTTAAACAGTTAAATTGGACTGCAATAATCAATCCTTATTAGATTTTTCATCTTTTAACTCGGAAATTGTTTGAGTTTTCAGCGGCAGACGTCACAAAAGTTTCTCAGTTTTCACTCATCATAATATCACAGGGCAAGTAGCACAGACTGGATTGATTTTGAACTCATTCTTATCTGGTCAGTTTCAGTATTTATTAATCCAATCATCTTATCTGAGAGCATCTCAAACTACCTCATTGATGTTGTCATGATGTTTAACAACTCAATTACATTTGATTCTAATAATAGAGTGAGTCGGTGTTCAGTGTTTACACTCTCCCTTAATGACCCTGCAAGTAGTCACGGTCGAAATTTAAAGGTTCATACCATTATTTTACATGTTATGGAACGCTTTTTGTCTGATATTGATTCAGTCAAGGAAATGAACACCGGCGAAATTTTATTCGGAAACGTAAGTTACCTTATAGGCTATAATCATTAATATCAACCGCTTTTCGCTACTGACTGTCTACCTGCCTATCTTTTTAAAGAAATGAGCATTTAACTCACATGGTGCCTCCGTTATAGGGAACACGACACGAACGTCACCAACGGAGGCGGAGGTTTCCATGCACCTGCCCAGGGTGGGGGCACTATAGGGGGCTCGATGAGTGGGGGAGCAGGAGGCAGGGGAATTGACAAACCTCGTTCTCTGCGCTTCACGTGGAACATGAAGACGACTAGTGCGATGGATCCGGCTGATATGATGAGTGAAATCAGGAAGATACTGGACAATAATAATTGTGACTATGAACAGAGGGAGAGGTTCCTACTGCTGTGCACTTTCCAAGACGGGGCGGGAGGGGCGGTGTCGGTTAATCAGGGCGAGGCCAGTGTCATCCAATGGGAAATGGAGGTTGGTCATTTATGTAGATCCATGCCCTAGTCGTTGGTTATAAGCATAGACAACTCGAAAATCGGATGAAAAACTGAAAACAGATTTTTCGTAAGGGTGTAGATGAAAATTTACGCAAGAGTAACCCGGCTTTTATTACGCTTGCGAATAGCAAGTCTTACCAAATTGCATGATGCATCATAGAATTTTTTCCAGGTAACCAACTTGTCTAATAGAGTCAGAAACAATTTCTCAGTTATGTATTTTGTCAACCAACATACACATTTTGAGCAAGTCTGCATTTAAAATACTGTTTGTATTCGATTTTGGCTTTGACTGTAAATTTTCCAACTCGTATTGGGTATGATTTCAGTTTTTTTCAACTTTTTCGGTTTAAAAAATTCAGCTTGTTTTATATCGGCGTAGTGACTTCATATTGAGTCATTTGATAGGCAAAAAAATGTGCTCTTATGCCTTCGTATTTTTGAGAAAACGACCTAGCGTTTTTCATGAAAATAAGTTTTTCGGCTCAACTGTTGTCTGCTCAGTTGTTTTCGGGTTCGTTACCGCTTAAGCTCTAATTCAATTCTAATTCAAATCTCTTAATTAGCGTGTTTTTTAAATGAACTGTATTCAAGGCAGGTCGAGAAAGATAGACATTTTGGGTGTAATCGTCTCATCCTATTTCGGCTGGTTTGCTATATTTGTGCTTTAGTGCTAATGGTGCAAAGCTCCGCTTAGCCTCTGTTAAAAGTTCGCAGTTTAACAACCTGAATAAAAATGGGCTGTGTTCGTAAACTGATTTTTCTTGAAGTTGTCTGAGAACACTCAAAATACATGCTAATTTTTTTTAATGGTCCAAACTTTTTCAGTGACTATGAACGCATTGAAGAAATAAATAGGTAGATGTGAATTTTTTTGGGAAAATGTCTTAAATTTGTTCCGGCCCAATTTGACTTTTTTGCAGTTTGACTTCAACTGATTTACAAAGAAGTCAAAACTCAAACTGCTTAAGATTAAATTTTAAGATATGTTCTCCTAAAAAATGAAAAAAACCAACTCCACCCATGTGTCTTCGCTACTTTCCTTGAAACTTAAAAAGTTTGATGCTAATTAAAGTTAGCATGTATTTTAGTGAACAAGCATAAAAGCAGAGCATATGAAATGGTTTCGGATAATTTCAGGGTAAATTGAAACCTCACAATTTTTTCAATTTTAATTCAAGTTGATTAGCTAAAAGAGGGAAACTGGGCTCTCAAATAACGAAATTGAAAGTGGCACGTAAAAACGTGGACCAATTCTGGTTTTGGCAGTGGGTTCTGATTTGAAGATTTTCTAGCGGAAACAAAACTCACCTAGTGATCCAAATTTTCCAACTTGGCTTAATTTTATCAAAAAAGTATCAATCATAAATTTTTCTTGAAATTCAAAGAGTTTTAAGACCATCTCTTTTTGACTTGGAAATTCGAAATGTGAAGTTTATATTTGAAAAAAAAAATTTGTTTTTATCGGTTTCCTTGCGTTCATTGACACTTTTCCAACTGGCTGTTGGCTATGTTTCAGGTTTGCAAGTTACCACGACTTTCCTTGAATGGAGTGCGTTTCAAGAGAATTGCTGGAACGTCAATAGGCTTCAAACAGATTGCCTCCAAAATCGCCAACGAACTAAAACTTTGACACTGCTCAAAAATACAATTCGCGTACTCGAAATTTTCAGAAAAATTAACTTTGAACTTTAATTATTGTGTTGGATATTCGACCAAGAAATGTAACTCCGGAATAAACCGACTGTGCTGGAAATCGTGGCACGAGATGTTTTGTTAGTCGTGTTGCGTTATGTAATGTATTTTTCAGTTATTGGCATTTGATCTATCTAACTGCTGGTGCTTCACAGTTCAAAATTGCCATGTTTTAGTAAGACAAAAGTTTTCAATCAATTCGAATTTTATAAATGCATATATTAATACCATCACTATCACTGGCGGTATCTAATAGTAACCTCGAATTTTGTTGACTGAACAGTTTTGATAAATATACATATTGGGTCGATTAATTTTTCTACTTGGTAGTTCAATAATGAATTTCTTTTTTTTTGGGCAGCTGATAAATTTTTTGGAGATTTGTTTGATGTTGAAGCTGTACAAATAATTGTATTCTATTGTACTTTAGTCAGCCGACTAAAAACTAAATGGCTAGGCCTGATTAATTTTCATTAATTTTGTGATATTGCAAATTATTGTGTATTGGCTGTACTGACTGTATTGTACTATTATTCAACTCTGCTCTGATCTGATTTCATCTTCTGATTTCTGGTAGCGTATCCTAGCAACATCATCTCTTCTTCTACTCTCTAATGAAATAGTTCTGCTGGATGAATTAAATTAATGATTATTCCCAAGCCATATCCTTTCCGCTCCAACAGTAGTGTAAATGAATTAGATTCCGAAATTGATTGTTACCTTCACCTCATCACAACTCATCTCGTGTGGTCCCCCTTCTCTTGTTTAGTAGGCACTCATGGCAAGCAGAAGAATGTGAAAAGTCAGAAAAAAAACAATAGATTACCTTATAAGAACAAACAATGAAAAGGAAAGTGGCATTTACAGCATAACTGATTGGGTCTATTATTTTTTTGAAAGATCGAACTCACCTGTTTTGCTCACCTAAATTTCTTTCTTTTAGTGCCTCTTTGTTCTGTATTGAGTTCAGAATTTGGTTAGATGAAAATCTGTGCGTGCAAATAGTAAATATCACGTTGAGTAAGCTGATGGCGACATGAGTGCACGACACTAGCGATTATCGCAAATTCAAAAATTGAAGCCGCTCTTAAGCAAAAAGCTGCAGGTTGATTTGGGGGCGTCTCTCTTTAGTCATTTCCAGAATATCATAAAATGCAACTAAACATGCGAAAAAAGTTTTCACCCTCCATCAGATTTTCAGCATTCTTTCTATGATAATGGGAATCGCAAAGAGAGTAGCTCCTGTTTAATTCAACATATTTTACACCCACTCCGTCATTATTAAGTCCTCTCGCCTTCTCACGTCCAAATCCAACAAATGAATGTTTACAGATGTGAAAATCTCGGCATCTGACCAGTTTCAGAACCAAAAGCTCTAATTTCATTAACTGTAGTTGAATTGTAGTAGAATTCAATTTTAAAAATGAAATTAACATCGTATCTTATGAAATTGTCAAGCTTGTTGGTTTTGAAACGGTTTCGATCATAATATGTTTTTCTGCAGTTTTGATTTGAATAAATGAAAGATATTCTGTATGTTTTGGTTTTCTCTTTGCTCACTCGTCCGGTCTAAAAAGTTCTCAAATCGGTTGTCGTTTCATGCGTTTCTGAAGTTTAAGTTCTCTTCGCAATTTCAAATGCTGTACATGATTATATATATGATATCGTATTGTATAATTATATGACATAATAGTCGTCCTCTTCTACTTCGTCATTCGTTCGTTCTCCTCGCAACCTTCGACTTATAGATGATCCCGACACCCTCTTATGACGAGGGTCTACGTCTACCGTTGATTCAAAATGTTTCTATGCTGTAATTTAATTACAAAAATTCTTTTATAGTCGTCTCGTTTCCTATTCACACCTTGTTTCCCCTTACGTCAAATACGAATCAAGTAATTATACTTCTGATATATTCAGATAGTTGTTCGTCAAACGGGGAAATAAGATACATTTCTTGCTCATTGTTCATATAAATTGGTTATTGAAATTTCACTATTTTTTTTTCACTCTGGTTTTTAATTCCTGTTCTTATTGTCAAGGTAGATGATTATCACCCTAATGAGCAGCCGTAAACTTTTAATCACCCTAATGAGCAGCCGGATACTTTTACGCAATCAGAATTGTTAGACGTTCCTATTGACCAAAACACTATTGCACAAAATCGAATTCATTATTAACGGAAAAATCATTATAGCAGGACAGTTTTGTTTTGCTGTACAATTGGTGCAGATATACAATAAGTTATTTAATTTTTAATTATCTGAAATAGGTTTTAGATTTTTTCAAAAACGCGCCTCCGATAAAAAATAACTTTCCGTTCCTGCATCATAGCGGACACCTTTAGCCCAGTGTCATCCGCCTCCTCAAGGTGGGACCAGTTGCGGGGAAATGGATGACACCAACCTCCACACCGTTGGTCTTGCAATGGGTAAGGACCGGGGCAAAAAAAATCGCTATGGCAAGCAACCGGATTCGTTGTTTGCATTTTTTTCAGTCTGAGTAGGTTTCGATTCTTAGCTTCATTCCTGTTTGATACAAGCATGCATTATGAAAAAGTATGAGATATGTTTTTTTCATCTTTTTTGAGATACTTACGATAAATTTTTCTTTTTCGCAACAATCGAAGATTTGGTAAAAACTTCCCTGTCAAATACCAGAAGAAAGATAGCCCACGCCCTAGTCGCCTTTTACCTTACTTAATTCTATAGTCTTCGAAAAAGTCTGTGGGCTGAGGTGAGTGTTTGGTGCATATTTTTAGATTATTTTTTCGTTTTTAAGAGTAATGAATGTAGGAACGACTCTTGTAAAAGTCTTGCTAACTTGTTTTTCAGGAAAAAGACTCAAAATGTGCATAAAAGTCTCTAGTAACTACAGATGTGCATTCATACATATTGATGTATTTACGAATGTACTGAGGTATAGATGCAATTTTTGAGTTCATTTGAAATTCATCTGCTGAAAGTGACGTAAATAGCAATCTTCAAATACAAACGTGGAAATGGCGTGAAAAAACTAATTAACTTTAGTTTCAAAAGTGGAATTTAATTTATAGATTTCCAGCGGAATAAAAACTTTATCTGTTGATCCAATTTTCTCAAGCTGGGTTAATTTCATCAAAAATGCGCTAGTCATAAATCGTGCTAGCAATTCAAACAGCTTACAAGGCATCTATTTTTTAAGAAATTCGAAAAAACAATGAATTGTGCAAACTTCATGTGCGAATTAAATTCTCCTGCATTAGCTACGACGCCCAAATTGTAGAGTATTTATCTCAACAAATACCCTCCCAAATCCGAGATTGTTCTTCAAATCAAAAGAACGAGCTGTGGCAAGCTCTCTTGCTTAAGCTAAGCCGCCCAATGTTTTTTACAGGTCAATTTTATTTTTTTTTGACCGTCTTTTTGAAACTTTACTTCTCGAAAACTACCCTCTCAAATCTGAGATTGCTTCAAGTTGAATAAACGAGTTCTGAGAAACTCCCCAGCCTAAGCCGTCATGCTCAAGTTCGTTTAACACAAAAATTTATGCCCCCAGAAAAGTCATTTTTTTGGACCGTTTTAAAAACTTGATTTATCTCACAAACTACTCTCCAAAGTGTGACTGATTAATAAATAAAGCAAACAGAAAAAAATTTGGCGAAATATATAGTTGGGTGGAAATTCTCATGATGAAGGTACCGAGTGATGGAAGTCTTTATATCAATCAGAAACAACAGACGTTCCTGTTCGCCACATTCCCAAACTCGGTTTCGAAACTAGGAGTAAAATATTATAGCAGTACAGCAAAGTGTTGCTGCATAATTAATGCAAATTAGAAATAAAGTTCTGTTTACTTTTGAGATAAGCAAAGGTATTGCAATCGGGTACTAGCCTTTTCACTCTTAACTAATTTTGTTCAGAGAATGGTCATTTTTGTGGGAATGGTAAACTTCAAGACAAGCTCAATTTAAAAAAAAACCCAAAAAATACCATGATTCAAATAGTACATAAAAGTAGTTTGTTTCCAGGGTTGATGTTTTTCAAATACTTTTCTCGGAAAAAATGTTGACTTTTAATTTGTTTCAGGTTTGTGGTTTTCGGCCTTGTTTCCGTCGATTCATTTTTTTAAAACTGAATTTATATTACTTGGTACGGTTTGCTATCAGCTTATTTTGTAAAGCCTGATTTTCATTTTGATTTTAGAATTTTTCACTAGGAGTGAAAGTTCTGTAATTTGATGGTCTTCGAAGTCTGATTTTTAGGGGTTTTATTTAATTTATTTTTTTTCAGTTAAACGGTTTTGGTTTATGTTTAAACGCATAATCATTTTCTATTGCGTAATTTTGAGGGCAAAAAATCTTGTTTGACAGAATCAAGTTTTCTGAAATGGCTTTTTTTATTATTTTTTGAGTCGCATTGGCAAAAATTTTACTTTCTGCTGTAGTTTTAATTTCTCTACCTTCCAAAGCCTTAGCTTTGACTCAATTTTTTGAATTTTCGTTTTTTTTTTCACAGAGACTACCGTACCAAATCTGAAGCTAAACTTGAAATGGCAAAAAAAACTAATGCGGAAATCTTCTAGATAAGCCGTTACCTCCAATTTTTAGAAAAATTTTTTGGCCGAATATAAACGCTTTTTTGACATTTTGGTTTTTTTGAAATTTTTGCGATTGCTCAAAACTGTTCTTTCATATCTTGAATCAAGAGTTCAACCAAAAAAAGTAGATTATGTGTATCTTCCGTAAACTGCATAAGCTGGAATGCTCCACACTTTGTAGAAATTTAGTTTAAGTCTCAGAAAATTTCTTTGAGTTTTTGATCGATTTTTTGAAACTGTTGCTTTCATCAAAAATTGCCTTGCCACATCTGATATCAACAATTTCAGCTATATTAAAATTTTTGTCAAGTAATTTTCTGAGAAACTAGTCTACCAAATGTGAAATTGATATAACTCAAAATGCTTTTTTTGTTTGTTTCAAAATTTTTGCAATTTCTTCTCGATTGAGTTAGTCATTTTTAATGGCTGAAAACTATCAGTTTTGCGAGCTCTTCATCATATGGGACAGTAACATTTCTGTTTTTTTTTTTAAATCAAGTTTAGGATAGGAATTGATATATAAATTGGTAGAACTGCCCTAAAGTTACAATAATTTTGATTCTATGATTCTGAAATTAATCAAAGAAAAAATTACGGGCAATGTTTTAGCATAACAATACATAAAATTTATAGATGCCAAAGAGAAGTAGATGCTGACTTCTGTCTGCTAAAACCGTATTAAAAATGCTGAATTTGATATTCCGTAATCATAAAAATTAAATTTTTGGTTTCCTTTTAGTTAGGTCAGTATATTGTTCACAGTAGACGTGAGAAAATTGCCTTGTAATCGGGAACTAGGCTTCTTTCCTGTAAATTTTTTTCTTACAGGTAAGACAGTAAATAACATTACGACTGTAGGAAATTGTGAAGTTGCTTTATTAATGAACCTGAACACCTATGCTTCTTCTCATTTGGCCTAGAGGTCTTGTGGTAGCTTTTGTGTCCTAATGAAATCGAAATATTTTTTTGTTAGTCGTCGGATTTTAGTTTTTCTGCTTATCTTTTGTCGGCTTAGTCTCCAATTCGGTAATCATGCTGTGCTGTAAGCTTAGTTAAACTTTTTTTACTCTTGAATTTTCTAAAATATAGCCTTGAGGTTGCTTAAATTTTTTTTTTGGTTTTTTTCTTTTTTGTTTTTTTTTGCTTGAAAATTTAATTCAGCTTTATTGGTTTCCGCTAAAATTTTTGTTGCTGTAACAGCAAAAATGATTGATTTGTTTTTGAAAGTTTCAGGTTGTTTGTGTTGCAAGACTTCAAATTTTTAAAACTTAATTGTTCGAACTTTTTGTTTCATAATAGCATTTTTTCATGACATTTGTTTTTTTTTGCTTCAATGGGCTTCTACCTACTTGTTTTCAGTTAGTTGGCCGCTCGGTAAACAGTATAAACTTATTTATTACTGATGGTTGGGTTTTTGGACTTTTTTCTGAAATTGTTTTGAATGTTTTTCTGAAAGAAAAAGGTTTTTTGTTTTGTTCTGTTTGTCTCATTTTCAATTTGCTCGTTTGAAATGCTGGGCTTGCGTTGTATCGCAAGTGATGCAAAGTTCCGCTTTGCTTATGTCTGAAAAAAATTTTTAGAAACCAGCTCATGGGTTTATCTGGTGATTTGTAGATTGAAGACATCTAATTTGTAGTCTTGATTTTTTGAAATTTACATGTTTTGAATAACAAATTGCGTAATTTCGAGGGCGAAAAAAAATCTTGTCAAAATCAAATGTTATAAAATTGCATTTTTTTTCTTTTTTGAGCCCCTTTGCCAAAGTTTTTCATTTTTGCTGAAGTTTTAACTTCTCTACCCTCCAAAGCCTTCGCAAATTTAAACGTGGACAATGTTTGACAAA